TAACACATTTATTGTAGCATAAGCATTTATTTATTTAGGAATGAAGGCTCCTCCTTGGGGTGGTTCACATGTAAAAACAATACAATGACATCAAAGATTATCAATAAAATCAAGCCATTAAAAACAACATAAATAGTGAGAACCTTAACAAATATCCATAAAACAGGTACCAGGCCAGAAGCAGAGCATAAATTAGCTAGAAAGATAAATCCCTCAAGTTAAAAGCCTGGGTAAAAAGAAATGTTTGGGCCTGGTTACTAAATGACAATATGGTAGGCACCATGTGTGCCTCACAGGGGCTGGCATTCCAGAAGTGAGGTGCCACCACTGCAAATGCCCTATCTCTAGCCACCCCCACCAATGAAGGCTTTACTTTAATAATCATATTTTCTTCATACCCTCTTCTTTGCATCTCTGCCAACTGACATAGTGTGCCCTAGCCCAGAAAATCTAGTTCCGTAAAATCAGTGCTAGTTTGTACGGTGCAACAAGATCCCTTTGCTCTAGCTGCAACAAACTAGAATAACTACCCCTTAAGCAAGTCTTATTCATATTTTACCCTTTGACTGTAAGCCACTTTATGTGCTTATAATAAAAAAGCAGCGTAGAAATTTTCTACAGTAAGTAAATAAATCACATTTCAGAAATTGCATTTGTTATTTGCAGAATGTATGAGACAGAACATCAATCAGATTCTGTTCCCATACGAAGCTTAATATAATTCACAGACCTATTACTGTGCTACATCAAACCTTTGCTGGAAGGCATTTCACAGAGAGACAAAACAATGGAGTATTTTTATGTATTAGACTGTTTGGCAGACCCAGAGGTCTTACTTGGTTGTGCAGTCTGCTAAAGTTGTTTTCCACTTTGCCACTCACCCTGACAATCAAGATCCACTTAATGAGAGAGAGACCAAATCCAGAAATGGCCCCGTATCTTCCTGCTGCTGACGTAGTCAAGCAGAAAGAAAGGAAGAATCCAATCCAGTTGAAAAGGAATGCCACTGAAGAAAAACAACCAAAAGATGTCAAACAGGCTCACTGTGTGGTTGCAGATCACAAAATCACAGCAAACAAATAATAAATAAAGCAAGTGAGAATCAATTGTCATACTACTAGAGTGGGGAAAACTATCTTTAAAAACTCAGTGGCAACAAAAAACCAACATGCTGCTCAGTGCTAAGAGGCACACTGCTGAAATTAACGAGCTGGGAACAGGAACTTGGGCATCTCTAGAAACGCTTTGTGTATGTAGAAGGATGACTTTTTTAGAAATTAAATTATTGTTCAGCCTACACAGAAAGCTAAAAAGTAGACTTCTCTCAAGCATGCATGTGAACTAAGTCGTACTTCTGTTATCTGGAAAATAAATCCTCCCCCACCCAAAGTATCCTACTAAATAAGAGATTGGGAGACTGCTACTGAGTATTCCAAGTAGTCAACAAAAGCCTTCCTGATCAGAAATGACTAGTATGTCAGTTATGTGCTTAATGGAGCTGGCTGCACAGAAGCAATCACACCAAAAGTGGGCAGACAGCTACCAGATTCACCACCATCGAGGAGCACAAAATCAGTCTGGATAATCAGTGTTCAACTAGGAAGCCATCCACCATGTGGATGAACTGCCTTAAAATGTAAAAGTAAAGCTTGCTTATCAACAGCTCTACGGGTTTTCTTTTTAATGTACTTACTGAAGAAAGTCAACATGAAAATGCCATCATTTCCTATCCTCAGCTGGTCAGAATCATCAAAGTCATCCCTTGCCACAAAGTCCTCCTCCTAAAACACAAGTGGGAAATGGGTCAAGTTGACTAGTAACTGTGAATAAAACTAATCTAGACTGTCTTTTAAAGTGTTTAAAAGTTTCTATTAGCTTTTTCATTTTTTAAAAAAAGTACAAATGTCCATTGACGCAAAATACTTTTTTTCATCAAAAGCTAGAGAAGGCTTTTTTCATACATGAAGGATAGACCCATACCAAAAGCCAACCAAAAGAAAGAAGCCTACACTTCCAGAAGTGACCTTCTGCTTAAGATAGTGGGCAAAATAACGGATTGCTAAAACCTAGTATAAAAATGTGTATTCTTGTATAGCGAGGGGAGAGAGTCAGGCAGCATGTAAAAACACTACATTTCCCAAAATGTTATAATCAATTATTATTATGGAACTGCATCAATTTAAATTTATCTACTATAGAAATTACTTGATTGTTTAAAATATTAATATCCCACCTTCTGACTTTTATAAAAACATAAAGTAGCTAACAAAAGATCGAACAAAACAATTTAAGCCTACAAATGTAACATAAAATCATTTTTAACCAATTAACCACAGCAAAGAAATTAAAGGTCAGATGCTTTACCACAAACTAAAAATTAATGCAACCAAAAATGGCCAAGGGAGGGGGAGAAAAAAGCTCCTTCCTGAAGGAATGAACTGTTTAGCATCGCCCTTTGGAAGCAACCCGCAGTGGCTGTGGGCAAAATACACATTCACTCTTCTCAAAACTAAGCATACTAATAAGGATTTAGAAAACACACAAAAAATATGATCCAACAAAATTAGCACACTTACCCTTCCTGGAACTAAAGGAATGGTAGCTTCTGCCTTAGTTCGCTCAGCTTCATCATAAGTAGGCAGTGTTGTGGCTACATTATAAGAAGGAGGTTTAGGAAAACCAGCCTCATCTTTGTAGTCAAAATACACTTGGAAAAATGAAGGGGGAAGAGAAGGTGGATTAATTATGAAAGTAATGAACATCCATGTACTTAAAACTATGGATTATTATTTAGCGAAAGTTATTTGGGTACCGTGTATCAAAATTCTTCAACCAGGAAATGAAGTAAAGATAGTAGGAATTGGGGTGTGTGTGTAATTTCCCCCCTCAGTTTGTAGTTGTTGTTGTTCAGGTCTATTGGACCCCCTCACCCAATTCAGAATTTCTGAAAAATCCCGGATCCCAATACTGACAAAGTATCTGGATATGGGTTTTTTTTCGGAAATCTCGATTGGGGGGGGGGGGTTTTCCCCAATAGACCCAAGAGGGGGAAAAACTGGGGGAA